AGGTAGAAACACCAAGTGTGGAAGAATGTATCAAGTCCCAAATGAATATTGTGCCTCTAACAACACATTATTTTAAGCTGCTTTTTCTTTATAAAATTCATTCCAGTCTTCAGACTTCGCTTTAAAATTCTTTTAGCAGCCCCTCCACAATGAGAGACAATCGTTTCAATCCAATTATAGTTAGAACAATAGAATTTTAGAGTTCAAAACTTTCAAAAATTAGGGCAGGTATTTAGTTAACAGATGACATTGAGCTCATGTAAGGTGTTGGTTTTAACCAAATCCTTAAAATTACTTTGGGCTTTTTGGAATTATTGCATTGTCTTTGTGTCTTCCCTTCACCAAAAAAGATGATCTTTCCAGATAATAACTGGGTTCAGGGTGGATGGTGGGACTTGTGTGGGGTGTAGAGGGAGATCACAGATACTCTGAAATTACTGACTTAAAGAAAACTGGTTTTCTTAGAGGAATAGTAACCATGGTTACTGGGTTCCAGCTGGAACCTGGGATGGGCTCACATACACATATAAATGTACATTTGCTTAGTGAAGGAGACAGAATTTTGAATGTTTCCCAATACCTCTGAGATACCCCCAGGCACTGTTGCTGTTGAATAAACTAAACCTGGCAGGTGGCTGGTTAGGTTAGTAGTTTAAAACCCAGATCCTTAACATCTTGTACCACAAGGCTCAGCCTAAATAATTAGTCCTCACTTGAGATCTTGAAAAACATAGTGGGTTTGTAAAATTAGTTGCTGCTTTTTTGCCCTTGTCAATAGTTTTCTAGAGCCAGCCAGCTAAGTCTTTTTTATTTTTGCAGGGGGAGGGGAGGGAGGTGGTACTTCTCCCGGAGCTTTGAACTCAGGACTTGGGCCTTGTCCACAACTCAAGGCTAGTGCTGTTACTTGAGCCATAGCTCCATTTTCCCAGCTCTTTGGTGCTTAATTGGAGAAAACAGTCGGGCTGGCTTTGAACCATGCTCCCCAGATCTCAGTCTCCTAAGTAGGCTTACGGGTGTGAACCATTGCTGCCAGCTCAGAGGAATCTCTTGTCCCTGCATAAACTGGCTTCTGCCTTCCTGTCTCATGTCCTGTGCCCATCTTAGCCCTTTCTCCTTTCATGCCTGCCTCCTTTCTGTTCACTGGACATGCTGGGCTTGCTCTGGCCTCAAGGATCCTTGGGACTGCAGAGCTCTCCTTTTGGAGCTGTGCATGACCACTTAAGGGCTCAGCTTGTGTCTCACTTCAGATGCTCCCTCAATCACTTGACTTCCTAGTCCCACGTCACCCTCAATCACCCATTCTTTTTTCTTTTTTTAATCGATCATGGGGCCTGAACTCGGCCTGAGCGCTGTCCCTCAGCTCTTCAGCTCAAGGCTAGCATTGTACCACTTGAGCCACAGCGCCACTTCCGGTTTTTCTGAGCAGTTAATTGGAGATAAGAGTCTCATGGACTTTGCTGCTTGGGCTGGCTTTGAATTGCAATCCTCAGATCTCAGCCTTCTGAGTAGCTAGGATTACAGGCACCTGGCTAATCACTTATTCTTTATGGCATCTCAAGCTATGTGAAAGGCTCTTCCTTGTTGATGTTTCATGGGATTACTTGAATTAAGGATGTTTTTGTTTACTACTGCTTCCCCACATCCAGCACAAATACATTTGGTAAATCATGTTGCAGGAAATGAGGATCTGAAGTTTCCATTTGGAGGTAACCTGTTTTCCCTTTGCAGTGTTGATGGGAACCATTTTCAGCATCCTGCTGGTGACCATCATCCTTATGGCATTTTGTGTCTACAAGCCCATTCGTCGTCGGTGACAGCAGAGCAACTTCCGCTGCAAGTTTTGGGGAACAGGATAAGTTGTGTTGCACATGGGCCAGTGGAGATTTGGAATCAGAACTTTTCTACTTAGAAAAGACCTTTGGTCTGGACAGTTGATGAATGCTAAGCTAAGCAATGTAGAAAAAAAACCCAAAGCATTTACTAGCAATGATTTTTTCCCCTCTATATTATTAATTATTGGCTGCTGAGTATACTCAGTGTTGTTTTTTTATGCCCGGATGTTCTTAAGAGTAAGACCCAAAGTCGCAAGCTTTGAGTAAAGTTGAGTGTTCATGAGAAAGCATGTGACCCACGAATGTCTGGAGACCCACACTGGAAAGGACTAACCATTAATCTTGAAATAGCAAGAGGAAGCAAGGCATCCTCTGCTTTTGTTTTCTTTGTGAATTAACACACATTTGTAACAGGAGGAAGTTTCATTGTGCATTCTATATATGTGCACAGTGCAGTTTGAATAAAATTATCCCCTCTCCCTTATTCCCCACCCTCCTCCACCAGTATTCCCTCATCCCATCTGCTCTGTTCTCAGATGCCCCCACTGAAGTCAGGAACTTACCAGGTGGTGTTATGGAGTGCTGTCTTGGCCTTGAAGGCCGAATTGGACTAGAAATGCTACAGTTGACCCATTAGAAAAAGTCCCATCCTACTCAGATTACCTTCATCTCCCTGTACTATAGTACTATATGCTGTCACTGTAGCCTACGGCCTAAACGCGTGTAGGAGCTGACACTCAGCCTGAGTGGAGGGCTTGGCTGAGAAGGGCACGTATGCTGTGCCAGAAGGTGTTTACAGATTTAATCTCAACATTGAAAATGCTGCTGCTGTTTGCACTGCTGGTAAACTGGATCATTTTTCCCCTACTGAAATGACACCTTCATACTGAAAAGGTGGTTATTAGTATTTATTGAAAGGTGCTAGATTTAATGTTCTTATAAATCTGTAATGCTTACCTTGTGCTTCACTTAAGCACAGCACTGATGTGAAATAACCTGCACTTAATGTGAAATAACCCATGAGAGATGTTGTAACTGCCTGATGTCAGGATTTTGGTCAGAACCTTGTAACATGAAGTCACTTAAATGTTCAGCATTGTGTGCTTTTGAGCAAAATGTCAATAAAATAAAGATGAAACCTTATATGCCATTTTACTCCTAGTGATTTCTGAAGTATTTAAAATGTGTGTGTGTGTGTTTGAATCTGATGTTATTTTTTAAAGGAGTGCTGCAAAACTTTAAACTTGTATGTGAGATAGCACCATTGTCATAAGGCAAAATACTAATTCTCTCAGAAAACTGAGCCATAAACAGTCAGGCTGGGCCTAAGGTAGAAGCCTGGCTTCTTGTCCTATATCCAGTTGTAACAACTTCTCTAGAGCCTCAGTTTTCCCATATGTAAATAGATTTTTATTTTTTTTGGCGGGGGTCCGGTTGTGGGCCTGAACTCTGGGCGTGGGCACTGTCCCTCAGCTCTTCAGCTCAAGGCTAGCGCTCTACCACTTGAGCCACAGCGCCATTTCCGACTTTTTTCTTTTTGCTTATGTGGTGCTGAGGAATAGAACCCAGGGCCTCAGGCATGCAAGGCAAGCACTCTACCACTGAGCCACCTTCCCATCCCATAAATAGATTTTTAAAAGGAAATAGTAAAAACTTGCAAAGCTCATAATCCTTTGTAACGTACTTTTTGCTTTAGAAATACAATCAGGTAGTTTGGGGCTGGGAAGGTGGCTCACTGGTAGAGTGCTTGTCTTGCATGCCTGAGGCCCTGGGTTCGATTCCTCAGCATCACATAAGCAAAAAGAAAAAGCCAGAAGTGGTGCTGTGGCTCAGGTGGTAGAGCACTAGCCTTGAGCTGAAGAGCTGAGGGACAGCGCCCAGGCCCCACAACTGGACCCCCCCAAAAAAAAGAAATACAATCAGGTAATTGGTTATATTTTAGTTTTCTGGGTTGGGGAACTTAAAATGTTATTTCACACATGAATCCAAAACCCATACAAAGTTATTGCACACACAAATCCAAAAAGCACTGTGTCTTTCAGTTTTCATACCATTTTCTTCTACACCAGAATTCCAGCTGTGGACGTGGCATAGTGGCTCAAGTGGTAAAGCACTCACCTTGAGCTGAAGAGCTGAGGGACAGTGCCCAAGCCCCAGAGTTCAAGCCTCACGACTGACAAAAAAAGAATTCCAGCTAGTCAGGAGCCCAGTGGCTCCCACCTTTAATCCTAGCTGTTCAGAAGGCTGAGATATGAGTATTAAGGTTCAATGCCAGCCTAGACAGAAAAGTTCAAAAGACTCCATCTCCAAATAAACAGCAAAAAACAAAACAAAAAACCAACAAACCACAACACAAAAACCAGACTAGAGACATTCAAGTGTTAGGATGCCAGCATGAACAAAAAGGCTGAGCTAGTGCACAAAAGGTCTAAAGTTCAAGCCTCTGGTAGCCTCTCTCTCTCTCTCTCTCTCACACACACACACACACACAAATGTACTATAGTAAAATAAGTATTCCTCTTCAAAAGAGGCTTATTGCAAAGAGATGTGTAAAGACAAAAGCACCAATTTGGGGACAGAATTATAGTGAATACTTGTAGCCATCAAAGACTGGCCAACTAAGATATTTCTAGACAGTGGTCTAGGCAGACTTTGAACCCCATCACTTACTAGATCACAGTCACTTGAACCTGTCTACTGCATCTTTCCTGACATCATGGTCAGGAGATAGGGACTAAACTGGTAACATCATTTCCCTTTCCTGTCATCATTTACTTTTCTGCTGCCGTGTGGTGTGACAAGCTTGTTTGCAGAACAGACTGTCTTAGAAACTTTCTTCTACCTGATTGCCATAGTGTGTTGGGAGCCACTGTTCAGTCAGGTTTTGGTGGATATTGAGCCATTAGAGGCTTATTGAACTGAAGTTTCCTACATGGTGCAGTGTGGCTCAAAGTACTGGCGGTGCCCCCTAAAAGCAAAGCAGCCTCACACTTAGGTAGAAGGTGAGTCTGGAGGCACTGATTATCATTTGAGCACTGACTTGAGAAGCAGCAAGCCCTGGCCTCCCAGAAGGCAGCCCTCCAAGTTGGGAGTTGCCCATGTGGCAACGTGATGTGGGTGGGAAGTGAGTGGGGTGCATCCAGTAACTAGAAAACAGACCACTTGGACTCCAGTGTATGAGCACCCTCTATTGAAGCAAGCTTTATTTGCATTTTGAGGGAACATGAAAAACAGGTTGACACAATGCTCAGTCCCTTTTTAAGTGACTCCTTGGGGATAAAGTCAAAGAAGTCAGGAAGCAGAGCAATGGAATGCAAACATAGAAATTCCCTATGATTTGCCTTAGTGAGTAAACAACACGTAAAATAACCGCAGTCATTCCCAAGAACTTGGCTCATTGTAAACGCCGCTGTGTAAGGAATGAGTGTGATGTCACCTCTACTGGCCTTGTGTGCAAAGTTTTTGGTCAGAGCATGACAAAAAAGGCAGATGGCTATCGGGCATTAAAAGCACAATTCTTTGTGTCTAGGAACATAACTGGCAACGTTCACTGTATGATTCAGACATCAACTAGAATAGGAGTTTGTGTTTCTCTTCCTATCCCAAAAGAAGCGCAATAGGAAACAGACGCAAAACAAAGGAGGATACAGTTTACCGGGTGATTTCAGTGCAGCCTGGGAGAATGGTCGGCCGTATTCCCCAGGGTCTGTGTGTTATGTGATGGATATTTACAGGAGAGCTAGACAAAATAGTTAACTACTAAAAGTATCCAAAAGAGGCCTGAGAAAAATCTGGTTAAAATGTATAACCTTGTATTGCTACTGATGGGAGTAGTCATTTTTATCTTTAAAAATAATAAAAAGATTCTGTTAAAAAATAGATTTATCCAGAAAGATGTTGTTTTGAACTCTCAAAAGCAATGTGGAATCATCACTTTCCCTTTTGAGGAGCCATCATGCTCCGTGTTCACATCTCATCTCAAACCCATCCTTTCCTGCCAAATTGCAAGTCGGATTTGCAGCTGGTGCCTCCTAGGCCTCCCTGCAACAGGCAACACATTTGTGTTGGCAACAGCCCTGGGTTCCCCTCTCTATCCCGCCAGGGACAGGATTAGCTGCCTTGGGTTTTGCCTGGAGGAGCCTGCTCTCAAAGGAGCTGCCTTCTCAAAGACAATCCAGATCCCTCAACACATGGAGTGAGGTGGTTTGAAACTATTAGTAAGTTTTAAGGCTAAGGCAACATCCGTGGTCATTCATCTTCATTTGATGCAAATAGTTAAGCATAATCTAAAATAGATCCTGTACATATCTCCTCTTTAACTTTAGCTAGGGTGTGAGGAGGGGGTAGAAGGGGTGGGGGCTGGAAGGTATGGAATAAGGTGGAAATGGAGAGGAATGATGGCAACTTCCTAGAAACCCTATAGAAAGGTAAAAATAAAGAGTAGATCGGCACAACCCATTTCTTTGGTGAACACTAAAGAAGGTGTCCAATTCTCATAAGCCACTCTACAAAGGCTGCTGCTCTCCTATATAAAAGCACCCTGACTTAGCAATAATGTTATCACTCTGGGGTAGAAATGTATCTAGAACCCTGCACGAATTGGGGTTTGTCTAAAGCTGGTAGTAAAAATGTGACCTGCAAGCCAATACAGCTAATGGAAAGTGGCGGTGCTGTCCTCCTCATGGCCTGGAGCTGGGCTGCCAGGCCCTCTTTCCACTCCAGGGGCACCTACAGGGCCGGGGAGTCACTGGTCCTGCACCTCTGTGGAAAGAAGGGGCAGCTGCCATCTACACGAAGTGGAGGCCCTCAGGCCTGGGGCCTGGCAGCGGACACAGCACTCATGTGCAGCCCAGAGCCTTGGTGCATGGCCCGTGCGGACAGAAAGATCTATTTCTCAGTGAGTGACAGCTGTAAGACTTGCTGGAGCTCAGCCTCCTCCTCCTGGAGACGGAGTTCCCGCTCTTCCAGCTCTTTGGCCGAGAGCTCCATGGCCAACTGCAAGTCGCTGTCAAAACGGCTGGACTCATTCAGGGCACCTGGGCACAGGCCTTCCATGTTGGTGAGGAGACTCTCCTGGATGGCCCTGGGTTGAAGAGAAAGAAGAAAAGGCAGTCAGCTACTACATCGTGGCAGTGGCAGCAAGGACACTGTGCCAGGTGCTTTTCTATGTGCATATAAATGTGCATGGGAGCGTGGGCGCCACACACCAGCCAGAAAGCTGCTACTCAGAAGAGGAGACCCTGCCCAAGATCACCCAGCTACTATGTGATGGTGCTGGGAATTGAACTTGAGTCTGTTTTACAGCAAAACCAGGTTGTTTACAACTCTGGCTTATACCAAACTTACAGAAAAAAGTGCCTTGAAAATGCATCATTACAGTTTTCTTTTTTTTTCTTAAAAAGAGCTAACATCTCTGTAATGATTCCCCATGTCACTGTCTTTAAAATGGTATAAACTCACTAGAGATATCACAGACCGAACAGACCAGAAAACATTTTCTCTCTTTTCTGTCAGTAGCATTGACCTGTGCCCTGTCAGCCCTTCTACCACTCCTTCCTGAAAAGGAGCTATCAGGCACGTAGAAAGCTAATTTAATGAGTAGTTTTGCCATAAAGAAAAGATTAATATGCACAGCCACACATTTGACAAAGCAGCAAGGGCCTGTGTCAACCTCAGTTTGACAAGAGCCACATCGTCAAGAGTCATGCCAAGCCAAAAGTAGGAGCTCATGGCAGTCATCCCAGCTACTCAGGAAGCTGAGATCCACAGGATCCCAGACTTCATCTCCAAAACAGCTATCAGAAAGCTGAGCTGGAGACGTGGCTCAAGTGGTAGAGTGCCAGCAGTGGGTAAGGAAGCCTGAGTTCAAAACTCAATACTAACAAAAAAAGTTATTATTTATCACCTCTCATACTGGGCCTCATAGCTGTGTGTTGGGCTGATCCCTCCATTTGAAGCTGGTCCTGAAAGTTCCTACAAATACAAATACAATGGACGTGAACAACTCTGAGAAGGAATAGCTGCCACCTTGACAAGGAAATAAGAGCTATAGAAACAAAATATTTTCCATGCCTATTATTGATAATGCTGTGTGAAATACTAATGGAGATTGGGGTTACCTCAAAGATCCTACAAAATTTTGAAGGGTGTCAGAAGCCATGCTGATTGGGCCGCCACCTTCTCCTAGATTACACATGATATCCTTAGGCTACATTTACATGGCCAAAGACATCACTCTTTTAGAGCAAGATTAGAGGGTCACAGTTCAAAGCCAGCTCAGGCAGGAAAATCCGTGAGACTCATCTCCACTAAACCAACTGAAAACCGGAAGTGGCACTGTGGCTCAAGTGGTAGAGTGCTAGCCTTGAGCCGAAGTGCTATAACCGACAAAAACAAAACAAAACACCTCAATTTTAACTACGTTTTAAGCATGAGGAATAGGAAAGACTCTGAAAACAACTGTCAGCAATGCGAAGTAGGGTTTGCAGATGGTCAGCTTTCATAAAAGACAGGGTATGTAAAGCTTAAAATAATCTATAAAAACCATGAGCCAAACTGGTTATTTAGGTAAGTGCCACTAATGCCAACAAACCTGGCTCCTGCTGGACTCCAGCAAGCTCTGTTGAATGGCAAACTGCATGATTTCATAATCTTCGTCTTGTAAGTGCACATTTCTGCCATTGTCTTGAACATGATAAGATTCAGGAATTTCAAATACAGATTGATCAACCTCAAAGTTTGTAACCTGGGAAGCTAAAACACAAAAGGAAACAATCCAGTGTCTGAGCTCATTACCATAAAATTTGACCTTTCTTATTTCCAGGCAGGATCTCAATGTGTAGTTCAAGGTGACCTCAACCTTACTACATAGCCCAGGCTGGCCTCAAGCTTATGATCCTGCTTTGAGCTAGGAAGTCAGACATATACCAACTTGTCCAACCTTCAGACTTTTTTTTGTTTGTTTGGAGATAGGGTCTTGCTGTGTTGCCCTGGCTGGCCTTGAATTCCTAAACACAAGAGATCTTCCTGCCTCAGCCTCTCAAATAGCTGAGACTACAGGAATGAGCCACAATACACAGCTTTAAAGATTCTTAAAAAAGGATCACAGTAATGATAATTACTATTACATGAAAGATTTTTAAGACTAGTAAAACAGTAAAATGTATTGCAGTACAGTTTTTCTTTATGCTTTGATCTTGTAAGTGGAAACATTAATGCATAATCATAAAAATACTGAAAACTATTATATAAAAAGTGAAGATTTCTCTTTTAACTCTAGTTCTATTTCCAGATTCTAAAGAGAGGAAGGGTTTACTTGTATATCCTTTGAGGACTAAGTCTAATATGTGTGGCTGTGTATTTTTCCAAAAGAAAAAAAATTGGATCGAATGCAAGAAAACATGAGGGAATTTGGAAACATCTATAAATGCTGTCTTAACTGTATTGGTGTTTACACAGAATGCATAGATCTGTTCAAATGCATGGAATTGTCACACTGAAGTGAGACCATTTGACTATGCATATTAAACTCATTATAGATGATTTTCTTTGGATTTTTAAAATTAACATATCAATTATACAGGGAACCCTGTTCATTGCTACATCTTCAATAAAGCTGATTTTTAAGAGAAGCTGTCAGCCGGGCGCTGGTGGCTCACGCTACTCAGGAGGCTGAGAACCGAGGATCGCGGTTCAAAGCCAGCCCCGGCAGGAGAGACCATGAGACTCCTATCTCCAATAAACCACCAGAAAACCAGAAGTAGCGCTGTAGCTCAAGTGGTAGAGCACTCGCCTTGAGCTGAAGAGCTGAGGGACAGCACCCAGGCCCAGAGTTCAAGCCCCACGACCGACCAAAACAAAAGAAAAGCTGTCTTCCCGGCTAGGGGCAATGCAGGCAACTGAACTCAAGGCCTTGTGCTTGACTTCTTGAGCCATGCCTCCAGCCTTTTTTGTTTTAGGTATTTTTCAGTTAGTACCTTGTTCTTTTGCCTAGGGATAGTCTCACCTTCCTGGCTGCCATGAAGTAAGCAGTTCTGCCTTACCACACCCTTTGCCATTATATTCACCCACAGAGCCAGAAACAAAGTTGCCAGCAGAACACAGCCTATAACCTATGAAACCATGAGCCCAAAGTAAGTCTTTCCTCGTTTTGCTTCACTCTTGTAAATCACAGTGATGAAAACTGACTAATAAAATATCCTTTAAATTTTTTCTTTTCATTTACTCTGAAGGAAATCTAAAAGGTTCCATTTATCCAACACAGATCTATTTCATATAGATACCTATCAAAATGATTAGTACAATAAATATAATAAATCAACTAATGTTAATCATTAACATATGAATTATTGATACAATGCATTAATATGTTATACTATATCAATAATATATTGTACTATATCAATAATGAATATATTTTGCTTTTAAAATCACAAACTGAATTTTTTTTTACCTGAATCAGCCTGGGTCCCTTCTACATTTTGACTTTCTTCAGCAGTGCTGCAGCCATTAACATTTCCAAATGTAATCCGTGCATTTAAGACATGAAATAAGGGAATTTCTAACAAAATAAAAGCTTTTATAAATAAACTTTACTGAAAATAATAACAGCCATCATTGACTGAGTGCTTACTAAGCCGGTACTATGCTCAGCACTTCTTTCTCAGTATGATTTCACTTTATCCTCAATAACATCCCTAATATCAAGATGGAAAACAGGTTCAGATTCAGATTAAGCATGTGATTAAGTGACTGAGCTAGAATTCATATGTCATGAATACACAACCAACTCAAACTAAAATTCATCAGCTTTCTTATTCATAGCTAGCACTCTACCACTTGAGCCATGCCTCAGTCTGCCATTTTTCTGGCTAAATAGAGATATAATTTTTTGGACTTTTCTGTCTGGGCTGGCTTCCAACCATAATCCTCTCTGATTTTAGTCTTTTTTTGGGGGGGTGGGGAGGTCTGGTCGTGGGGCCTGAACTCTGGGCCTGGGCACTGTCCCTCAGCTCTTCAGCTCAAGGCTAGCGCTCTACCACTTGAGCCACAGCGCCACTTCTGGCTTTTTTCTTTTTGCTTATGTGGTGCTGAGGAATCGAACCCAGGGCCTCATGCATGCAAGGCAAGCACTCTACCACTGAGCCACTTTCCCAGCCCGATTTTAGTCTTTTAAGTAGATAAAAGTTACAGGTATGAGCCACTGTATTTATATACTATATATAGCATTCTGCATACTAGGTTAGGCCCTAAATCATAGTTACCTATCAAAGGTTCTTAATGAGAGTTGTATTCTCTAAATAATTACCTAATTTGAAATTTCATTTGAGTAAAGTCTAAAGTTTCACTTGAGGTTTGACTTTAAAACAATGTCATATTTTGATGGTTTTTTACATCTTTATCAATGGAACCAAATGGCTAGAGATCTCCTAATTCTCATATGCAAAATGAACCAGATTGTAATGCTTCTTAAACCAGAGCATAATTCTGTTACCTCCTCTATTATATTTATCATAGGCTACCTGGTACCTCCAATTCCATGAAACATATTATCCACAAAAATGAGTAAATCTCACACTTGTGCCTGAGCTGAATGGTACCTATTTTGACAGGAAATCCAGGCGGGAATTCCAATTTGATGAAATCTCTTAGTCTTGCAAAATGAGCGCTAGTTCGAGCCATGAGGTCAATAATGGGAATGACTTGCTCCACAAGGGAGAGGGGAAACTCTTCACACATCCACAGTGTAGCTTTAAACCTGCAGGATTTGACGGAAAAAGACAGATGCTCTCAGATGGGGAGAGCATATCAGTACAGCACGGTGAGTTAGAACACCAGCTTCTCACTCCACATGCTACTGAGCTATCTCTTAAACTCAGAACCACTCAGGCCTGGAACCATGAGGAATTTACATCATCCAGAATTCTTGTGATCAGGAGAAGAGGCCTTACATTCCAACCTACTCCTGTAATAACCTTAATTAACAAAAAGCATGGAGAAATTGATAGCTGATGGAAATCATTTCACTGGAGCAGCCAATGGGGGGATAAAAGATCCAGGCACTGGTGGCTCATGCCTATAATCTTAGCCACTCAGGCGGCTGAGATCTGAGGATTGTAGTTCAAAGCCAGTCTGGGAAGGAAAGTGTGTGAGCCTCTTCAATTAATCACTAAAAAAGGTCAGAAGTAGAGTTGTGGCTCAGGTGGTAGAGCACTAGCCTTGAGCACAAAAGCTCAGGGACAGTGCCTAGACCCTGAGTTCAAGCCCCAGGACTGGCACAAAAAAAAAAAAATAGAATACTTTCATTTATTATCCCACTTGAAAAAAGCTAATGAGAAAGGCAGTCTACTATTACTTTTCCCAGATAAAGTAATTTAAAAGTGAAAGGGCCAGAGGCATGAAGGACCCTTACACTATAAAACAGTACAACTTCTGACTCCATCTGTAAATTGAAAATGGCTCTTACTTTTGAGTTCTAATTGTCAGCTCTTTTGGCCTTCCGATGTCCCTGTCTTTCAGATCAAAGTCTTCATCAAAGTACTGGTCAGGTGTGATGGCCGTGGGGTTGTTTGCGGTGGCACACTCTGTAGTGAGGTCCTGCTGAGCCAGAACTCAGAATCAGAAGTGCAAATGATGCTTACAAGTAGTGGCCTACAGCACTCAGTCCATGAGGCAGACATGTTAACCAGCAACCATCAGGAAATTCTAGTCACTAGTTTTGTTTTTTTCAACTATTTAATAGAACATGCCAATCAAAAACTCTGTTAGCAAGCTACATGGCAAATCCAATGGATTTCCCCATCTAAAAATGTTCCTGGAAGTGGCGCTGTAGCTCAAGTGGTAGAGCGCTCGCCTTGAGTTGAAGAGCTAAGGGACAACGCCCAGGCCCAGAGTTCAAGCCCCACAACCAACAAAAAAAAAAAAATGTTCCTGTACTCTCTCTTCCATTCTTATTGAAAAGAAATTGATGAAAACACTTTAAAGTTGGGTTGGAGGCTGGTTCAGGTTTCTGAGCTAAGGTTCCTGCATTAGGAAATCCATTTATAGCAGGTGTGCAGTTCTGAGTTCAAACTGCAGTAACCCCAACACACACATACATATTTTTTTCAAAGAACATGAGATTTGAATCTTGGAGTTTAAGGTCCAGCTCTGTGATTGTCTAGCTTTGACACTGGAAAGGAAATTTCATTTTTCTGATCCTCAGTGATATCCACTGTGCTAATTACATATAGTGATTTGGGGGAATCAAGTAAAAAAATATTATTGTGCTGTCACAATAGAAACAGTGTCATGTCATATAAAGGTGCCTTATTTATAACAGATGAGAGAGAGAAAGATGAGAGAAAACGCACCTAATTTCTTTTTTTTTTTTTTGGGTCCAGTCATGGGGCCTGAACTCTGAGCCTGGGCACTGTCCCTCAGCTCTTCAGCTCAAGGCTAGCACTCTACCACTTGAGCCACAGCCCCACTTCTTGTTTTTTTCTTTTTGCTTATGTGGTGCTGAGGAATCGAGCCCAGGGCGGCAGACATGCAAGGCAAGCGCTCTACCACTGAGCCACCTTCCCAGCCCAACACACCTAATTTCTGTAATCATATCATTCCTTCAAAAGCTTTGTTTTCAAAGACTCATTCATCTTAATTCTCTTTCAAAAGAGAGCCTCTTGCTCAAACTTGGGAACCTTTTTCATCTTTTTACACAAAGTAGCCTACTCAGGATGCAGAAAATACCATCATAAGCACTGATGAGCTGATTTCACTTTTCATTAAACTCCACTAAATGGAAAACTCACCCCTTGAGCACCAAACTGATGTTCCACAGTACCCAGCAGGGATTCTAAAGGGTTCCTGTCCGCTACAAAGGAAGAACAGTTTAATGCTTAAATAGTTTAATGCTTATTTATCTCACTGGTGCCTGTAGAAAAAACTATCTTCATTACATTTTAACGTTTCTGAGCTAAGCTACCTGACATTAGGAAATCCATTTACAGTTAGGCTGATAAAAATCATCCACAAAAACAACTTTATTCTTTATAGCATACTAATTAAGATCTTTAAACTAGAGCGTTACAAGAATTGTTTGTTTGATTGCTTTTTGGTTGTGGGACTTGAACTTGGCCTAGGCGCTGTCCCAGAGTTCTTCAGCGCAAGGCTAGCACTCTCCCACTTAAGCCACAGCACCACTTCTGGTTTTCTGGTGGTTAATTGGAGATAAGAGTCTCATGAACTTTGCTGCCCGCCCTGGCTTTGAACCATGATCCTCAGATCTCAGCCTCTTGAATAGCTAGGATTATAGGCATGAGACACCAATGCCTGGCTCCTGAAATCCATTGCTTTATACAATTAATATAAGTTAATAGAAGAAAACTGAGTTAAAGCAGAATATTGGATGGAACTTGGATTTAGGAATGAGCCAGCTATGGGTTCTGATCCCACCTTGGCCATTCACTGCTGTGTGCTCTGGGGCTCAGTTCCTTCGTCTGTCACAATGGAGCAATGGAACAGTGCTAGTGGTACTGGTGCTTAAGCAATTACTATATACTTCAGGCACAATGCTAAAGTGTTGTATGTGGGAACTCATCCAAGTCTCTTAGCAACTAAGAGAGGGTCAGTATCACCTCCTTTTTGCTGCTGAGGAATCTGAGACACAGGGGATATGCAGTTTCACAAGGAATAGCAACACCAGGATGTGGAAACCACTTCTTGGTGGTGCTCTAGTTCAGAGCCCATGTTTTATCCAAATCTTTCCTTATGAGAGGTTAGATGACATCACTCATTGATAAACATTCTCTAATATTCTTTATCTACTTCTTTGGATAAATCTAACAATTGTCATAATTCAGAAAGAAACCTCATGAATGGCTTTAATTACAGCTGAAAGCAACTATGGAAAAACTCCAAGAGTGAGTCAGTCTGTGGAAACTTTTATAAAAAGGTTAGCATGCCCCAATAACATGAACCCCAAATATAATAGAGCCAACAAAGGCTCTCACTAAACTAAAAAGAATAAACAAAAGAATTTAAAAAGCAAGGGGAGCCAGACGCAGGTGGCTCACGCCTATAATCCTAGCTACTCAGGAGGCTGAAATCTGAGGATCGTGGTTCAAAGTGAGCCAGGGCAGGAAAGTCCATGAAACACTTATCTCCAATAAACACTCAGAAAACCAGAAGAGCGCTGAAGCTCAAGTGGTAGAGCGCTTGCCTTGAGCTGAAGAGCTGAGGGACAGCACTCAGGCCCAGAGTTCAAGCCCCACGACCGACAAAAAAAAAAAAAAAAGCAAGGGGAAGATTACCTTTATATCTCTTTTTTTCTTCCTCCGTCAAATGCTCTGTGCGTATTTTGGTTATCACACTCACATTATTTACTGTGTAAACCTTGAGAGATGTGCACAAAAGAAAACAGTGACACAGAACATCAAAACTCAGAAAAGAAAACATCTTAAGAGCAAGAATGCTGAAGCAAAAGAAACCAAAACAATCTAGCCAAATTAAAATGAGAAATGGTTAACAATCATTAGGATCCTTTCAAAATATACAAGCTATTCATCTGGAAATGCATCCACAGTTATCCTTCATAGCTGGTCACCGAGGGGCTAATTTCACAGGCTGCATCTTCCCACTTGCCCTGCCTTTTGCTAAACAGCCTCCATGTCTTGGACTTAGGTTTCCCAACCGAGCTCCCACTGCACCCAAGCCTGCTTCCCACTCCTCCACTGCTCTGGTAATCTTCTAACAGTGCTGTCTTAGGCAGCCATCTGCAGGGCTGGGCAGAGGGAAAAGGGTGAGGTTCTCTAGACCCGGCAGATTCAGAGAAATCCTGCAAAACACTAGTGAAGACATTCTACCTAGTGACAAAAAAAATTGCCATATATATATATATATATATATATATATTCCTCCAGAGAAAATGCTCCCAGGGGTGACTGAGGAATATGGTGGTGTGAAAAATCAAGGGTCACAGTTAACAAAGAATTAACTGTCTGTGCCATATGTGGATTCCCAAAGCTGAAAGCTGCAGAAAATAACACTCAGGACTGTTTCTGAATGCATCTCACTGAGCATGATGTAAGATTTCTCTGCTCACTCAGAGGCCACCAGAGGATCCTGCAGCACCTGGCTCCATCCATAAGCCATCAATCCCTGACGCACTGCGAGACCAAGCAAAGGCCAGCTGGCAGCTGGCCAATGGACAAAATCAAACGCCAGATGACCTGACAGAGCGCGGCTTCCACGACTTCAAGGTTTTCAATTCCCTGACGTCATGTAAATGCACCATGAACCCACTGGTTACAATGAGGCTAATTTTTTTTTTAAATAAGAGACTTAGAGTCAGCTAGAGAAATAATTTTTTAAAGTAATAGAAATGAACAAAAATTACTGTGTAATATTTTTAAAAGATGACAGGTCTAATCTCCCTCTATCTCTAAAGACCTCCTCAGGACACACTATCCCATTTTCTGAATGTCAAATAAGATAAAATAAAACATCTGAGGGGGGGAGGAAGGGGGAGGGAGGGAGAGAGAGGGAGGGAAGGGGGAGAGCGGGAGAGAAAGGGGGGAGAGGGGGAGAGAGGGAAAGAGAGAGAGAGAGAGAGAGAGGCATTAGACAGAACTGATTTCCCCAAGGACCTTCTGGCACAGATGCATGAAACAAAAAAATCTGAACAGACTCCCCATTTGCATAGAAGCTAAATAGCTATATTAAATCTTACTTTAAGAGTTTCCTTTTACCTTTGCTTCGTAACCATTAACAACTTCTGCTTTATCTGTCCTCCAGCCCCAGAATCCGGATTTAGTTCTGATAAAAAGTGAACACCACAAATTTCTACATGTACAATATGCCATTCAGATTCATCCCTGAAGCCTTTACAGTTTTCTCCCCCAGCTTAAGTTAGCGAAGGACATTTGGAAATCATGGTCCTGATGGCCACAAAAGGATGCTATCGATGACAGATGGTTTAAACATCCCCCGCCCGCCTCCCACTGTTATTAATCAATTTGCCTCACTCCACACGTAGAAAGCTTCCATTCTTGGCTTCTTTACAAAAACTGCCAGTGTAAAGGACAAAGGTGGTGACATTGATTGGACAGCTGTCCTAACGAAGAGAATGAAGATGACCAGCGTCCAAAGTCTGGACAAGGAAAAGTATGTGGGTCGCCATTTATCTGGGTCATCTTAACTACAGCCACAGATAAGCGGCCACATCTCCATGGAGGAATCTTAGAACAATGGAAGAGTGCCCACTGGATTGGAAGATGGTGGGTGGGGCAGGAACTCCTCACTGCAGTAGAAGAGGCTAGGAAAGCTGGTGGTTTGTGAATCACTGCTCTAGCAGGTCCACAGCAGTAGGGGAGAGAGGAACACAAGCAGTTTTTCAGCATCGTTTTTGGATTCCAACAGCAACAGTAGCTGCAAGCATTGCAATGGGCCCAGAAACCCAATGAGTCAACTTTTATATACTCCTGACAAGAAATACATTCAGAACCAAGGACAGCCAAGAGGTTTTAATTCTGATTCCCTTTCTTTCCTTTTTTCTTTTTTATACCATCTCACTACATAGCCCAGGTGGACCCCAAACTCTCAGTCCTCCTACCTCAGCCTTCTGAGTGTTGAGATTTAGAGGTGTAGAGATATAGGCGTGGACCACCACACTCAGCTCTGGTTTTGGGTTTTTTTTTCTCCCTTTTCTCTCACTTCTTTCCCTTCCTTTCTTCTTCTTCTTTTTAGTTTTTGTTTGTTTTGTTTTGCCAGTCTTGGGGCTTGAACTCAGAGTCTAGGTGCTGTTCCTGAGCTTTTTTGCTCAAGGCTAGCCTCTACTACTTGAGTGGCAGCTCCACTTCTTAATTTTTTTGGTAGTTTATTAGAGGGAGAAGAAGCTCTGGCGATCCTCAGCTCTCAGCCTCCAGTAGCTAGAATAACAGGCATGAGCCACTGACATATGACTGGCTGTTTCTTTTTTTGGGGGGGAGGGGGAGTGGTCCAGTCGTGGGGCCTGAACTCTGGGCCTGGGCGCCATCCCTCAGCTCTTCAGCTCAAGGCTAGCACTCTACCACTTGAGCCACAGCACCACTTCTGGCTTTTTTTTTCTTTTTGCTTATGTGGTAACTGAGGAATCGAACCCAGGGCCTCAGGCATGCAAGGCAAGCGCTCTACCACTGAGCCACCTTCCCAGCCCGATGACTGGCTGTTTCTTAAGCAGACTAAAACACTACCACTCAGAAGGGACCCCTGCCCAGCCCTGCCCTTGGTCTAGGATAGCACATGCTAGCTTTATTTGGCCCTGTGTAGGGCAAAAGCCTGCCTGCTGCTCTCCCGGGTGAGTGAGGGGAAGCTTTGGGAACACTAGCAGGTTAACCAAGTCATCAAAACCAATGCATTTATTCATCTTTTGTGTTTCTAGTTTCCTTTCCTTCCAGTGGAAGTTGGTAATGACATGAGTCTGGATGGGGCATCATGAGGTTTTAATCTGTTTTACACCATTCTAGAAAGAAGAGACCAGGGCTTTCCATTTCCTCTGAGTTGCCTACAATTAGTGCAACAGAACCCATGCAGGAGCAGGCAGGACTCTGAACAGGATTACATCAAATGCTAGCTCTCGCCACTCAGAACTTACATTCCAGAAACAAAATAAGTGTTAGAAGGCAGATGTCTGGAGATCACAAGTGTAACAAATAAACCACAATCTCATGGCCATCTCTAAGTGGGTATCAATTAACAAATTCAATCCTCAGTTTCTGGTCATTGCTTGAGTCACTTCGTGTTTAAGCTGGAGCATGGTCTCCTTGGGGACTGAGAGGTGATGGCATCTGCTCCACGTCATTGTTCACATTGGCTGAGGGATGAAACTACTCCATTCCCCAAGGGCCCACCAAGCTCTTTGGCTGTCTATAATGGCTCCATATCAATCCTGGCTTCTAGTGACTTCTAACACTGCAGTATAATTAGTGAACTCAGAGGCAACCCATTTTAAAACCATGATGCTAGTGGCCTTGGCCTTGGGATAACTGCATGTATAGGTATTCAAATGACAACCTGGCTTTGCTCTAACATCCTTTTTGCCTCCACCTGTCTTCCCTGAGATCAGACACCAAACACAATTTAGAGAAAAGCCCTAAGTGACAGGGAATGTTTTTTTTGAGGTGGGCATGGCATAATCTTTCAGAGAAAGGAAAATCCAAAGAACGATCAAATAGTACACACTGCACACCAAAAATCCATCAGGGACGTATAGTAATTTGCAAGCATGAAAAACTGATTGACAGACTCCAAGAAAGAAATGGACAAAAGTGACTCTTGCCAAGTAGGAGAGAGTCATACCTTCCACATAAAATGGGAAAGAATCACATTCAGCCAAATAAACACTTGCACCTCTGTGCAAACCTCACAGTCAAGAATGGCTAAAATCCTTCCTTGATGCATGAGAAGCTCACTGATCACATGTTTAATTATGAGGTCTGTAAAGCAGCTCAGCTGTCCCAGAAAGATTGCTCAGCAGCCAACTGTCAGCTGCAAATGGAGAGTCAGCTAGAACCATTTGAAACCCTGTGACCAAATAAATACAAAACATGCCTTCTTCCTCAGTACTCATATCTGCACTGGTGGAATAAAATCATTTACTGCTTCACTCCTTTTATAAGGCACAAGCAATGACTCTTGCAACTGTGCTGATGAGCTATAAAGGGAACAATCTCTTTTCTTATGACATCTTAGCGTCATAGACTTCTAAGACCTCATCTTGAAACACACATGCTCGCTCTCTCTCTCTCTGTCTCTCACTGTCTCTGTCTGTCTCTGTCTCTCTCTCTCTCAGCTAAGGAAATGGAAAACTGGAGAGATCAAGCCCCTTGCCCTGAACCATGGTTATTCAGTGGCCCTACTGATAGCATTCAGTCTTTCCCCTCTCATCTCTACTGATGGGCTGTGGGAATGAGGGCAGCCTTGAACTCCTGGGGTTATAAACAGAGTCCTAAACTGAAGGTATGCTCCCTGCCTGCAGAGGAGCATGGGAAACCTGGAGATACTTCCAGGTAGATCCACAGTTCAGTCCCTCAACTCTGCTGTCCTCAGTGTTGGCAGGAAGACATCCCTATCTCAGGGGATGCTTATGGCTCCCATCAGAACAAAACCTGGGGACATCACACAAGCTGTGTTGTTCTGGCTTTTCCTTCTGCTCCAACAGATACCCTAGTCCTACGGTCTGATCTAAGTTGGAAGGAAAAAAGCACAAGTTTTTAGGTTTGCCTAAAAATCTCTCAGTTTTATGAGGCAATTTTACACCAGAATCATAGAAGAAAAGAATAACTTCAAAAGAGGACAGTTAGCATATTTGCGAAGAGGAAAGGATGTCTGAAGCCAGGGTGAGTGCCCCTTTTAGTTCAGGTTATGCTACTCTGGTTCCAAAGAGTTGGGTCTGACATACTAGGCAAACACTAAGGGCTCATAGGGACTCCTTGATCGGTGTGACCCACGGTAGACAGGTGACAGCTACTGCTTCCCCTATACTCAAAGGCCTCCCGCCTCCTCTCATAGGTGGATAATCAGGAGTGGTATTCTCATCTGGATCAACCCAGGTACACACCTCTCTGGAAAATTCTCCTCATAGAGTGTGCAACAAAACCAAACTCCTTCTAGATTCTTGTTCTAAACTATTGCTTCATATACATGGGGGGAAAAGACATATTTTGCTGTTATAGTAAGAGCAAATTGGACTAATATCAGTACAATTGAATTCAATACTAGGTTAATGTTAGCTGCCAGAAACTCACAGCTCTATGGTTTAGGACTAGGGATGTTGTTGCAGATTCAAAATACCAAAACAAAAATAAGATCCAAATAATATCCACTAGAAAAGGTCCATAGAAGAATATGAAGTTATTTCTCTAACACTTAACAAATGTACTATAAAAAGGATAGGGAATACTGGAGGTAAGCTATGGTTTCTATTTGGTTGGACTAGAGATCATTCTTGAAACTTGCTAGTGTTTATCAGGTCATATTAGGAAAAAAGCCCAATTAACCCATAATTTCCAATGAATACAGAGAGACATGGAATAGGCATTAAAATCTAGAGTCCAACTTCGTACCTTTCGAAAGCAATGTTTTTAGTATCAAGGCTGGTATTGATAACTGGACTTGTGAGCCGCCTTTCAACTTCCCTGCTTTTCGGCTTCATCAAGTCCAGAGTGAGACGCTCCATCTCTTGGGAAAGATCAAAGTGTTCAGTGGTGACCACTTTGTCATCGTGGTTGACTTCCATCAACTCTGCCCAGTTGTCTGTTAAAAGAGACAAGAGAATAAGGAAGCTCAGCTCTAGAAAGATACAAAATCATGTTAATTCTCACATGCTAAAACATCATCTTTCACATGGTTACTCTTTTTTCAAGTGTTGTCTGGTAAAGCCTCAAGAATACTGATTCTTGGGGCTGGGAAGGTGGCTCAGTGGTAGAGTGCTTGCCTTGCATGCATGAGGCCCTGGGTTCGATTCCTCAGCACCACATAAGCAGAAAAAGCCAGAAGTGGTGCTGTGGCTCAAGTGGTAGAG